CATGGTGGATTTTCCTGTAATGTACAGCATATTTTACAGCATAGGTCTCCTCTCGCTTGTCGCAGCCTTTTTAATCTCGTTGCGTGCGCCCTTTCTACATCTCGTCGCGCGCGCCTTCTGTCTTGTCGCGCGCGCTGTCTCGTCGCAGTTCTTTGTCGTCGCTTTTTAATATAGTAGACCCCCAATAGTAATTGTTGTCTTATGTGCAACTGATCCTAGCAGGCTACAGTCTGACGTAAACCGCGCTATTAATTATGTCTTTCCCTCTTTTTTCTTCTCTTTTTGAGTCTTTCTCCCTCTCTCTATTTGTTTTTTTTATGGAAAGGGGGGGGGCGTGGAAAAGAAATCATTCCTTTATTGATATATTTTTTTCTACGATTGTTCCTCTTTTAAACAGTATTTCGAGGCGACTTCCGATAAAGCAGAAGTGACCATTTTTAAATCTTCCGTGTATGCTCGGTTTGTCAGAGTGTCTTCAATTATAGCATATTGGTTTGAATACCAGCATACTCAACTTGAGCTGTGGGGATGTAGAGGTAAGCTACCAATGTTTTGATTATACTGTAGATTCAAAGTCCTAGTCAGGTCATTACAAGTTCATCACAGGTCAATCACAATTAAGTAGACCGGCAAAAGTTGAATATTTCGCTCAACATGACATTTTTGGTAAAAGCAAATATGCCTAATTTGCATAAATTGTTAATCCCTGCCATGTAAAATATTTATTCCCATATTTGGGTATATTCTTTATTCGTTTTTCCCCGTTTTTGTTTGCTGGCTAAATATCACCACGTTAATAGGTTAACTGTGCCAGTAAGCAGCTTGGTGAATTTAAAGCTTATCAATAGTAAGTTGTTGCAGACTTCTTGAAGATATCTAGAGACAAGGTAAATACGTGCAACTGTTGGGTATTATAGTAGCTATTTTGGATCGCTACTATGTCCTCATAATTATTCAGTCACTTACATTCTTTAGAAATTTTATCGAAGTAAGGATGTGAAAGTAGAATAACCATTTTTTTTTAAACAAAATATAGGGGGAAATGTAGGTAATAACGGTTTATGCAAATGAGGTATATTAGGGGTCAAAAATAACGATGGCATCCACTCACAAACTGGCGTGAAATTATTTTCTAGAGAACTTTTCCACATTAGGCTGGCCAGCTAACTCATCAAATGTCCATGACACAAGTCATCACAAGTCAGTCAGAAGACATCAAGGGTATTCCTTTGTAAATGTTTTTGATGACTTCTGATTCATTGTGATTGACTCGTCTTTCACTCCTTAGGCCAACCAAATTAATACCTAAATTGTTGTTATCCGTATGATAAGACATGATTTTGAGGCTGATAGATTCATTGGAAACTTCCATTGTTTTAAATCTCTTGACACGCAACGCAACATTTCCTCTTGTTCATAATAGTTGTTAGCATTTAGATATTTAAAGTGGATAGAAAATGCTCACGGTAGCAAATATGCAAGCTATTAATTAAACAAAATAATACATTGCGTCACGTCTAAAATCGGTATCGTGGAACGATGTCCGATATGGGCTAAAGGTTAAACTCATTTTCGGCAAAGACGGGATGAAACCGGTCCAGAGATATGATAGGCAAGAAAAGTATCAAAGAGCCAACTTTACTCTACGTCAGCCTGACTCTATTCGAACTTTCCTCTTCGTCTTGTCACCCAGTCTAAGCAAAAGTCAAAAGGCCTGTTCGGAATACTCTCTACTCAACACGATGCTTGGGTCTCAAATCGTAAGTCACGATTGTCTTGACAAACGGCTACCGTCAACCTAATGTGTATTGTGTGTATCTTGACAGGCCGATGTGAGGATAAGTTGGGTGTTGAAGATGGGACAATCCCTGATGACATGCTGACCACGTCCAGTGCAATTGCTGACTATGGTGCCCACTTAGCCCGAATCAACAACCACAATGCGTGGTCCCCAATGAATACCGACTCCCGCCCATGGATACAGGTCAACTTAGGCTTAGATACGGTCGTTAGCGGAGTGATCACTCAGGGAGGTATGTTGGATTACAAGAACGCTACACAGGTCCGTTGGGTGGAGACCTATAAAGTAGACTACAGCAACGGCTGGTTGGAGTCTACAATGGCCGAATCCATCCGTGAAGTAACTGATGAAAGAGGAGTAACGCAGGTAGTTATAGTCATAAACCGCTTGGAAAATGGTATCGTTGGGACACATTCCCAAGACCTGCATAGTACAAAATAGCCGACCTTTAATAAAACCTAACTCTAAACTAAACTTGACCTACCGTCACCAGCCTTCGTGCATTTGGGTTTTGCCTTACAAGGAATCGATTTAGGCTATTTTGCGACGATACATTCATGGATAAACATTAGAGATGCACGCAAATGTCTTCCTTATCTACCTAATTGTCGCCCTAAGGTACAACATTTTGGCAAAACGCTTCTCCTTAAAGCTATAAAGAGGTACTTTTGAAATATGTTTGCAAGGGAACCAAACAAAACATTAATCACGTTTCTTACGTTTTACAAAAGCGGAAACGTTTAGCCTAGGTCACAGGTTCATTAAAAAAAAATAGCCAATGAGCGGCTGATGCCTAAAAGTTATTCTAAGTGGAAGCTAGATACATTATTGTAGGCTTACTCGGCACCTACGAGAAAGAGCACTTTCTTCTTATCTTCCCTGTCCAGGTCTTCTCTGCAAACTTTGACTGGAAAACACCCGTCACAAACTTGTTCAGACAACCCGTCCTGGCTGGATTGGTGCGCATTGTGCCGCTGTCTTGGCATCATGCCATCTCGATGAGACTAGAACTCCTGGGATGTCTAAGTAAGAACTGCCGCACTGTAGTGACACATGTTCCGATGGCCCATCCCAGAGTATATTCCACCTTGTTGTTAACAAGTAAATGGTGTGGCCTTGTTTGGAGAGTAGACATTGCGCGTGGAGGAAATCGGTAACAATGAATGCACAAAAGGCTCACTCATGCATACTCCATCAAAACAAAGGCATTGTTCCCTAAGATGGCTGCTACGTATAAGGTCTATAAACATTAAGCAAGCCTGAATCAACAAGCCACCTTTTCACTACATTGTTATATGGAATTACACTAGCCATCAACATTCGATATTATGGGACTCCAAGCAACTCCACCTATTTCACGAACCTACACACGATTTACGGAAGCACTATTGGTTAATAATGCATGTGTTTAATTAACACACATGTAATTACCTTCCAATATATTTATGGTACAAAACTTGTGGGATGTCCATGGTTATTTGGAAATCGATTTAAGAACCCTAGTATTCTTAAAAATGCGTATTCTGATAATTGTATGTACAACATAGAAATATGAATTTGTGTCATTCAAAAACACGTTATCTTTGACAAAACACGTCAAAGTCACGTATGTTACTACAATGTATGCTTTACATCCAATACAGCCGCCTTTAGCGCGAAAAGCTACAATCAAACCAGATTGTCAATTTTTTCATTTTTTGAAAATTGTTGGACAGTTTTGGTGTGAAAAAAAAAGTTTGATAACTTTGGTCCTGCTGTTACACTATTACAAGTTCATTGTGTGCTAATTTTGGTTGTTAAACAATCAAATTTAGACACAATTTCATAAAACATGATGATAACGTAGTGATAGTGTCCTCTAGCAATGCCTTTGGTTGTCAAAGGTTGTTTGATTCGATAAACATTGACGCCTCAAGTGTTTGAACCAAATTTAAAAGTATTTGAATGAAAATATAAACATGTAAATATAGTATTTAAAAAATAAACAGTGGCAAATTAAATTGGCCAACAAATAGTAAATCGCCCTTTTGAGGATGATGTCAGAATACCGGTCCTGATAGGGTAAAGAAAACGGTTGAAGTACTGTATGCTGCAACATTTATCAGTCAATGCGAAAACTTGGAAAAGGATTATATTGGTAATTAATCATCAAAACATCGACTTTGTTACACGTGTCATCTGTCTCAGGTGTCTGCCAAGAACGACTCGGTATGGAGAATGGACAGATTTTGGACCATCACTTATCCTCTTCTAGTAGCTGGAACAGCCAGACGCACGGGCCGCAGCGGGCCAGACTGAATCAGAGAGCCGACCCGGAGCTGGGACTAGCCGGAGGATGGCGCGCCGACACGGGTAGCTCAGCAACCGGAGAGACGTGGATACAAGTCGACTTTGCGCAGTGGACCAATCTTACAGGGGTCATTACGCAGGGTCGCGAAGATAAAAGCGAGTGGGTGACCCAATTCAAAGTGTCATATTTCCAGAATGACTGGCTCTTTGTAAGCACACCTGGAGACGGCCAGCCGCAGGTAAACACATTAACTTAGAGCGCAGAAGATAAAGTGTTGTTCCTTAAATCAGCAAACCTAAAGTTCTCTCCGTACTGACTCACTGACCGAGCGTCACTTGTAAGCCAGGCAGTGATATAGTTAAATCTCATATTGTCTCCTAACGCCGTTCAGTAGGCTAAAACCGGCCTATATTGTGTTGACCAGATGTATATAACAATGATGAACACTCTGAATCAATTTAAAAGGCAGTGCAAAGACATTCTGAATCAGTTTGGTATTGTGAATTCTCTGACACCGCCTTGAGAAGGGTTACCCTATCTTGGTTTTGTTGAAAATGAAAACCCATATGATATCAGGTCCTTATGTTTTAGGTCGGTGAAACAAGGCAAATGACATTATATCGCTTTGATAGGCACGAGTCAAGCTGTTCTGCTTCACTGTTAAGTCTACTTCAAAAGAACACTAGCTGAGATACCAGCTGCAACGGATAAAGTCTGCTGTATTTGTATGGTTTAATTGTAATTCCAAAATGCATATGTTTGTCAGGAAGAGCGTGATGTTGAATGACACAAATTCACATTTCCATGTCTAACTTAAAAGTTAAAGCAATATTGGTGTAATTATTGTCTAATAGGAGTTCTTTGGTAACTATGACACCTACCACCCTGTGACAAACCTCTTCCTGCACCAAGTTGTCGCCAAGTCGGTTCGAGTGCATCCCATCACCTGGTACAGGAGACCAAGCATGCGTTTTGAGCTTCTGGGCTGCACAGGTACTCAACATGTGTTTTATTATTTTGATCAATAATGGCGTCTGATCACACAAATGAAATATGTTGAATTAATATAGATGTGTTTTCAATTCCATTGTCAGATGGTGACCTTATTTTGAACGGCTAATGAGATATTCATATTATTTTTTACAATATGGATATCAGCATTCCCAACCGCCTACGGGAGGGTTGTTAAAAGCCAATGGAAGCTGAACATGTTTTACTAGGAAATTGAAAGATGTTTATACTTAATAATTAAAGCGAAATTCTGCTTAAACATACCATTCGAATAAGTTCTCAGTAATTGCATGACATCAAATTAAAATATAAATGAAGTCAATATTCAAAAAAGGAACTAGATTTTCCACATGGAGCATTTATTTTTCTACTCGCTTTAAAGAAATTATTCAGTCATCTTTACGAAACAAAAAAAACACACGGGCAAATAATTGTTTATCAAGACATGCCTCACTGCATTGTTTAATAGAATCATGACAATGTATTACTATCGGGCAAAATGGACAGTATTGATATTGTAAGGTGTTGATTCAAACCAAAGATTTTACATTAATTCCTAATCGATCAGAATGTGTTGGTAAAAATACAAATGATAATATAACCTATGAGATTGTAATTAGCTTAGGTTTTAAAGGAAAAGAGAACACAAATTTATTTCTTAAAATTATTTCTTTATTTCTTTATTACAATTACAGTTAAATATCGCTCGGGCGTCATTAGATCCGGTAACTAGCTCACTGCGAAGGGAAATAGAAAACAAAACGGTTGTTGTTAGGAAACATGTTTTTCTCATTGAAACTGGAACAGTCGGTTAATGTTTGAAAGGTGTGACCACGCATTGTATCATTTTACGATAATGCCAAAAAATTGGACAAGGTTTATGTGTAATCATAAAATTGTACGAACTCTTGTGATTTTGTTTTTTAGTGCATTGCCAGTCTCAGCTTGGGATGGAAGATGGGACAATCCCTGACTCTGCAATCAATGCATCAACAATTCTGTTAACTCAGGGCTTCTGGCCTTATAGTGTCAGGCTTTTGCCTGTAGGCACGCGGCCGTTTGCTATTCAGTGGTTCGGACAATTGGAGCCAGAGATATGGATTCAGGTAATGATTGATAGCGATATACAGGTGCATGGGCGCAAATCGGGGTGAAGGGTAGGATATACCCCCACCCTTTTGACAAAGAGATGGTCGATCAGATCAATCCCCCCCCCGGATTTTGTTGTGAGAAACAAAGAAACGCAGAAGTTTAAGGTTATATTGTACCTTTCTGATATTTCAAATGCATTATAGTTAAAACAACAAACAAAGAGGATTATGGAAGATTTCAATGCAACATTATACGTTAAGGTTAAGGACAAATCCTCGATTTAAACCATAAATACGCTTATCTGCATGCTCGGAAGTCCACACAGTGTATGTGATGCTTGTACACGCATCTTTGTAAACGCCGGCAATCGTGGACCCATATTGTCCCTAATTCTCATTCCTTTGTTTGTACGATTATTAATTGTGGACTATTGGTCAATCGGACGTACTGTTTATGCCCTAACCGTTTTGTCATACACTGCAAAAAATGTGCACCATTGGTATCTATATAGGACCATCTGGAGCTAAATTTTACCTATATAGATACCGAAATGTGTTAAATTAAAGGGAATATACAACATTTGCAAACATCGAAAAACAAAATTACATTGTATTGTATTGTATTGTATTGTTTTATTTCCATTTGTCACAAATTAATATAATGCAAATGCAACAGAATATTTACTACAACAATAACTAAACTTTCTAGAATGATAATACATGTACAACACTTTGATCAATTTAACATAAATGGTGACAGATGGGGGAACCAGGAAAAAAGCCTCAGCTTATACAAAATACCTTACTAGGATGTTAGTATATGCCAGTCTAAAGCATCCTGTAAAATTATGGGACCAGGTGTGTAGTCATTTTCTAAAAAAATTGTATTTTATAAAAATGTCCAACGGTGGTCGGCGACAACCGTTGGAAAAATCTAACCAACTATCAACCACTGCTCCTAATTTACCATTGTTTTTGTCCAAATTTTGTTTGCTATTGGTTACGTGTTCATGAACGGGTGCAGGCTAGTCTTCAGCTAGACTGGTTCTATTACGTTACAAATTTCCGGCATCTAAACATTGATCCATTTCATCTAAATTAGTGGAGTCAGGGAACCAGACTACCTGAGCATTTTTGTTTTTTTCTTGGTTATTCAAGCATTTTCGATCACAAAACTTCAAACGTGTCAGTGTAACAATATTTGATCTATTATACTAACCCTCAATTTACAGGAAAAGCCAATGATGTACATTCCCTTTTAACACTACAGTTTTTGCAGTGTAGGTCCACGATTGCCAATGTTTATATACTCCCATACACACACTTGCCGAGACGCGTTCACGCATCTGATCGGGGGCACCACGTCAAGATCCCATCTTTGAGCAAGCCTGTGCTGATGACATTTTCCGAATTTAAATTATCACTTCTCGTAGGTGGATTTGGGCGAGAGGACGCGAGTTTCTGGTATCATCATACAGAAGCCGTACTATTGGCACGGCTGCATAACCAGTTTCCACCTGGAGTATGCCATATCGGATGACGTGACAAAATGGATACCAATCCTGAACAGTGACAGGACTGAGGTAATTGAAATAAGTGGTTAGAGAGGGCATGAGCTATTATCTGGCCTTCCAAAGTTGTAACATCGTCCGTGTGTAGCTTAAGTATCCATGGGTAAGGTTGTGCATTTATTTCTGTTTCAATTATTGGATCCGTTTATAGACCAATTAGCAAGAAAGAAAAGGGGTAAAATTGTTGACACAAGGGGCCATGAAGTTTGTCAACCATCGGGGCAAATTCATTCAATGCGTTTCATTATATGTATTAAACGCAGGTGTTCCAGGTTAAAGCGTATTTTACTCAGCATCAGAGAGAGAGGCACATCAGCTACTTTTACAGCAGTGTTTTGGCTCGATTCATCCGGTTAAACGAAGGCTTGGATAACTCTCCGTGGCATTGCTTCCTGATGAGATTTGATTTCATCGGCTGTCGGAATCATGTAAGTTGTAAATCGAGTGAAGTTCATTTTTCTTTCGTCCGTTTTTCCGTTGCAAATTTAAGTCTGGAAAAAATACAGGCCTTTACACGAGAACAAAACGAAGACACGTTTATTGTAAAGCCCCTGTCACACTTTCGCGTATCCTAATTCCTTATGAGTTCCTTATCAAAATGTTTCAATACGCAGCCGTACGCTCAAAACGTCGAAACTTTTTGAATACTTTGACTTATGTGCGACGCACATCTAGCGTACAAGTAACAAATTCAGCGCATCCATTGCGTATGAGATGCGTATGAGTTGCGTATGCAGTGCACGACATTATTTTTCGGCCTGCGAAAAGGTCAGTATGCAGTGCACATGCTGAGCGTATTCCAGACGCACCCAACTTATGCCGACCGCATGCCTGACGCAATACGTCGGCATTCGCTATGAGTTCGTTCAGCGTGCATTGTATCTGCGCTGCAAGTACGCTATGTATACGTCCAATTATAGGCGGCTCATATGCTGACGGGGTGCGTGCCGGGAGGTCAGCGTATTACTGCGTATGAACCGCTTATCCCCCACGAACACATAGCGTACTCGTACCGTGATCGACAGATGCGGGAGCTGCGTATTTATAACTTATGACCTGGGTAACAGCGTACGCAGCGTAGTTTTGTGCATGCCCAAAACTATCCGGCGTACTGGGCTGTACCATGCGTATGCCTGCGTACAAAAACTTGCACGAAACGATAGAGATGCATATGAGGTGCGTATTGTGCGTACGACTGCGTATGAAAAAAATGTCAATGCGCAACTCATAAGGAATTGGGATACGCAGAAGTGTGACAGGGCCCTAAGGCGGACTGATGCACGTGAACCATTGGTGAAGCATATTCAATCGTATATTCTTTGCCCGTATATTCTTTGGCCGTACTGTCTCAACAAAACAATTTCTCCGTTTAATTTAACTGTTGTTCCATGATTAATGTGTTTTCGTTGAAATGACTTTTTCTTGTCTTTTAAAAGAAAGTTTATTGCTAGTAATTATTATAAACTAGAGCTGTTTGTCTGTTTGAAAACAGAACAGGGCTTTTTCGCATTTTAAACAGGTTAATGCTTTGTTCGTCCTTTTGCAGTCACTTTCTAGAGTGTTTCATGCAGTTAAAGGTTGTTCAAAATGCTAAGCATAATTCCTTAAATATAATTTTATCACATGACGACACATGCCATGGGATGACGTCATCTTGACAACACTTGTCAATGCACACCTTGTTATTTTGGTCTTGGTTTATACAGCTCTATGGTTTGTACCAAGTTTTAAGTCAATCCGATGTACGGAAGTGTGCAATTTTCGAAGCGGAATATAATTATAAATATTTTTAAAAATCATAAAAAATAAACGATGACGTCATCGTGACGTCACTTTAGACTTAACAAGTTTCATGACCATCGGAACTTTCCTTATATGTGTTTTGAAAAATCGCATTTTTGATGACGTCATGATGACGTCACACATTTTTATTTCATTTTGCAAATAACTATTACCTAACAAACCAATTACACAAAGAATTTTGATTTTTGCATGTTGCATTCTTGAGATATGGCTAAAAGGTCCCAAAATTCAAATATTCATATTGAATCGCATGATGACGTCATCGTGACTTCGCCTCATGTATTACTTATAACATATCCCGGTCTACTGATATTCCAAGTTTTAACCCAGTCAGACTCACAGTTCTGTATATATATGGGATTTGCCATAAGGACTATGCATATGCTTAGTTTGAATGATGTGTGACAAAGTTCAATGCTAAAGTGACGTATACTAAAATCGTGTACAGAGTCAATGGGATTTTGCATGGAACAAAGAAGAAAGTAGGGAGAAAAAAAATCCGAACAAAAACAAAGGCTTTTTTGAAAATTTGCGAAAGAGCCGACTACAAGTACCTCCATCTAATTAAGTTATCCAAACAACTGCTATTAATGCACTCTACCCTGACTTTTTTACCAGACCGAATAGCTCAAAGTTGTAATTTTTTCACTTAACACTCTCCGAAATTGTTTTGTTTGTGATTTTGCCGGCCTCGAAATCTAAAGCGTTTTTTGTACGTGAAGTTTACTTCCGCAGCCTTTGATGATGAATAATCATGCCATATTTCATTCAGTGAAATGAGAATGAAGATGATCAGTTATTGAAGTGAAAACAAAAAAGAAGATAAACAACTATAAAAAAACGTAACAAAATCCATGATCACTTTGATGATTATATGAAACGTGTGTTTGATACAACGAAGTAGGATTTTCACATACGACAACAGCCTGTTCTTTGGGAGGAAACGTGGTTTTCTGGACTGTTTAAAAGCATCTGGCGATTAATTTGTTTGTCGGTCCACCTGTTACTTCGTCGGGTGACAGGCTATTTGATAGGCTGTTAATTCGGTCTGTTTGTTTTCACTAACTCTCAATCCACGCGCATCCGTCAGCCGAGAATGACCAGGACTTGTCAGACATTATTCTCTGACGGCTACGTACTGGATGACACTTATCAAATCGACATGGATGGTATCGACCAAGGTCAACCACCATTCCAGGTCACATGCAGTATGTCAGATGGTGAGTTGTGAATCAGATAGTGTTATAGTTCTCACAAGTCCTTCCTCTTAGGTCATTGTAAGTCCTCACAAGTGCCTGCAAGTCCTCAGAAGTCCATCGCAAGACACCCAGTCCCAATTGAGTTCGCAAACTATTCAAATGAACTTTGACAAAGATTTCCTTTGTTGTTGTTGGGTTTTTTTTTTTCATCCGCTGGCACGTATGGCTGAACTTGTGAATGGTCACTCGAGAACTGGGTTTTGGTCTGATTGGGAAGGGTCTGATGTTAAGTTTGCTTAATCATAGAAGGGGCACTGTCTGACCCTCAGCTCTGCAGGATCAGCCTTTGCTTTTAAAACGAACATCATGGGGAAAGAAAACTAACAAGATAACAAGTTCATTACTTTACAGAAGATAATACACGATAAGAAGAAAAAAGAGGGGCATTAGGCCAAATAAAAAAAATAGTCTTTGGTCAGCGCGCGGTAGCTCCAACAGCGCCCTCTATTGCCGCACCTCCTCAAAAAAAAATTACCAAAGAGCACCAAGGAATGGGAAATTGCACCAAGGCAAATTATGGAGGACACCAATGTGCATGAGGACACCAAAAAAGCAAACTAGTACCCCGCTTTGTCTGTACAATCCAAGCTTAAAAATAAAGCCGAGTCACCGCATCAATTCCGAAACTTTGGTCTGACAAGAGACCGATTTTTTTTTTTTTGGCCTTACATGGTTTGTTTCATTTTCGCCAACTTGTGTGTTCGCACAATTTCCACTCACAATAATAACAGAAAAGAACAGGTGGTGCATATCGCTGTAACTTTCCAGAAAAAAATTGTTCTTCCGTATCTTGTGTTTTTCGAAGAAGTGAGAGATTCGTGACTAAATTGTATGAATTGTTTGTCTATAGGTGCTACCATAATTCACCATGATGCCGAAGACACTTTCAAAATTTCAGGATCACCCAACCAACTTACAACGATTGACATTACGTACGTCATCGACATGCAGCAGATCATCAGTGTGATTGATAATGCCTCGACGTGTGAACAAATGGTCAAAGTCAAGTGTGGAGAAGCCGACCCAAGTACGCTCTCGCAGCATCCGGCACTCCAGCCAGTCAAGTGGGGTTCCCGCAGCGGGGAGTTGATGCAGAATTGGGGAGGGCCCACTGGTCACATTGGCTGCACCTGTGGTTTGAAACAAAGTAGGCAAACTTGAGTTGAATAATTTCTTTAGATTGACTCGCAAAATTGTGATATGGTCCGCTCTTCCCTACCACTCGAGGGCGTTTGTGGTATCTTATTTAAGGCTTTCAATGGAAACATTATTTATAACCAGAGTGACTAGGCATCACGAATTTTCAGGCCGTCACAGCGTTGTGGGGAAGTTTTTATTTTGAGCAATTTAGGACCTCTCCCCACAGCATCTTCGGTCCCCATATTATCACCATGGGACAACTCGTGTGTAGTCTCCACAACTACAAAACAAGAAGTTGTGTACGCACGACACGTGCAAACGAAATACATGTTTATGGCAAGTGACCTGCTTAAACGTTTTTTGCGACGCAACCGTTTCTTTCAGAGGTTTTTGTGAAAGGAATTATCTGTCAACCTTGAATATGGAACTTGGGGCCAGATACCTATTATTTGTAATGCATCATAGGAACGGTTTGCGATCGTTGGTTGAGGAAGTGGCCGCATTGTTCATGTAGAGCGGATTTCTCAAACGTTTAAATAATCTGGTTCCCATAAAGGCATTCTATCTCAAACAATCATATTACGTATAGTTATAAGTACGAAATCAAATGACCAAACGGGTTTCGAACTATCACAAACATGAACGCGAAACCTCTTGTTCTACTCTTGTTTTCGTCCTGTATACTTGATTTGACAGATTGTAACACTGATGGAGAGCTGTGCAACTGTGGCGTGGGGCTCAACCGATCTAGCTGGGCGTACGACGAGGGGATACTGACTGACAAAGATACCCTGCCAGTCACGCTGATCCAAGCCTTTACCTCCCAGGACGTGTACGTCACTGTTGGGGCCCTGAAATGCAAATGGCCGCACTACAAAGTACGTTATTAAGTTGCCTTAAAAACGACAAATATGATAAGATCCTTACAGGTTCGTTAATTTTTTTTTTGAAATATCACTCTGTTTGACATCCTGAATGAATATGGACATTATTTGCATGAACATGTTGCAAATTTGTTTTGTTTCCAACATGAGGTTTTGTGTGCAAGTCTGTGACGTATCCAGAGGGGGGCACCAACCCCCGGGCGAATTTTTGTTATTTTTTTTCAGCAATTATTTCAATACCTGGTTAGATAGCTCTCATTGCGAAGATAGGGACCAGCCCCCCCCCCCCCGCTTTTTTATTTTATGGAGGCCATGAGTCCGGAAAAAAACGTGTCTACCTTCGCTGATATGTGGTTGCCCCCCCCCCCCCCCCCACATCCAAAGATTGATTCGCTACTGAAGGGAGAGGAATGACCAGGAGGCAACAAGGAGATGGCAAAGATTTTGTTCTTGACAATTTACAAAATTGTTAAGGCAAAGTCATTTTCATTTTACAAATATCTGTTTTTCGGGACGACATATGAACTTTGTACGTCTACAAATAGAGATTTCGGAATTCAAATGATAAATTTATCCGCAATGCTCTGCGCGCAAGTGTTGTTTGTGTTGTGAAAAATAACAATGTCTTACAAAAATCAAAATAAAAATCTGCTCAGTTTAAAAATATGTGATTTTTCATTGTGATTATTATTATTAGGTATTGATAATATCTGCATAGTCATATTGTATTTACTTGTTCACAACTTAATTTAATTACAATCAGCTCAATTACTTGCTTTCCATCTTTTTTTTTGGCACTCAATGAGTTCCCTTTTTACACTTCAATGCAAGTAAATATCGACTCAGTAAGTTATACTGTTGAGTATTGTATTAACTTTATCATTGGCTTCTGCACCTAATATATTCACATTTAATATTTGTTTTTTCACTTATTCAGTGACTGGTTATCTTTTAAGACAGATATAAACATATGTTTTAGATGTTGATGTTTGCATTGCAAATGTTATAGTTTTCTGGGGTTTTTAATTATGAAGAATATTATTTTATTTCAAGTATTGCCCTTGATACATGCATTTTAGCACAGTGCCCTCAATAGTCCGGTAGCATCCAGCCCAAAGCCCCTTCCATCGCACAAATTTTCCAAATTTTCCAAATACTAAATAGAGATTGCCGCTGATGGTCATGATATTGTAACGGAAAAGTGTATGGACTATAACAAGTCTAGCGCGTGTAGTGCGTGCGTGAATTGGCGGAATTTTGCTCAGTGCGTAAATGCACGTTTGCGATGAGTTTTCAAAGGTGCATGGTTTAACGTATATTAGGGGTACTCACGTGATCACGCGGGTCTGTTGAGTCTGGACAGCGGACAGTATACAATTGTTGCCTGTTGTGATGGGGTCCAAAGTGTATTGTACACCCGAGGGTGCAAATGACCGAGGGTGCCATTTTCACCCGAGGGTGTACAAAATCCATGGACCCCAATCACGGCAGGCAACAAGTGTTTCGTTGTTCCACGGTAATATATTCCAATATATTTTGAATAGATCCGCGATGCCTTCACCATGAATATTTGCACAGAATGTTTTTTTTTTCATTGCAAGGAAACACAAATTAATTTACCTTTTCCCAGAATAGACCAATACATTAAACAATGCACAACACTGTAAAGAGGAAAACCACATTGTAAGTCATGTACACCAATTTAAGCAATAAACACCAACGTAAGTAACGTACACCAATGTTTTCAACGCACGCCAATGTAAGTAATGTACGCCAATGTAAAAACATTTAACGCACGCCAATGTACATGTAGTGTACGCCAATGTAAACAATTAACACACGCCAATGTAAGTTATGTACGCCAATGTACACAATAGACACCAATCTAAAAAAAATACATGCCAATGTAAGTAAGGTACACCGCGCAAGCATACAACCCATTCGGCTTGCACCTGATTACGCTTTACCCGTGCAAGCTAGCGTCATCATCGTACAGTACCTTTGCTTTGTAAAGGGGTATTTTTTGCTGTTTTATTGTGCAATAAACAAGTGATCACAATCCTCATAATCGGCAGTATATTTCCTCCAAAACCAACCTGCTCCCCAAGTCTAGAGGTCGCTCTGAAGGGTCTCTCGTCATGGGAAAGGTTGTGTTTGGGAAGATCAGCTACACTGTAACAGGTGTCAGACTTGGTCCCAACGAACTTAGGTTTGTTTAGCAGATCCCCGCCACAATATACCCATCTGTAGCCTTTTCACAAGGTCGACCTAACTCACGCTGGTATTTTACTGAGTGGTGAAACAGCCAGGCGTTTTGAACGGCTATTATAGACACATGTCCAGCGAGCGGTGTCTTTATCTGCAGCATGTCGTCAATGTATCATGCTTTTTAAGTATTTTTGTTACGTACGATGACACTCATTCGGAATGTATTTTTCAGGTTAAATACCCTCAGTTGTTTCGCTCCCATCATTTGTACTGTTTGTAATTCTCATCAAATTACATTTGCGAATAAAGGAATAAATCTCATTAATGTTGAAACCCCAGTCTACTCTTATTGTTTATTTCAATCAGTATCTCTTGAACATGGATAATTACGATTATGACTAGGGCCGCCTACTTAAGTTAGTCTTTGCCATGTAATATCGTTTCAAATTGAAAATATTCAAGGATCCTTTCCCAATTATTCAAGGGGTAGGATTTTGCATAGGTGTCCGATATACCTGCCTTTCAATATACATCTCTTTTGTTTTTTTTATTAATTAACATATTCCACCTTCTTAGGACTTTTTGTATTTGATAGAGGCCATATTCAGGGTTCAAAGCCGTTGATTTAGTTTCTGTTGCAATTTGTTCAAGGTTGCACCATAATTATGGTAAACTGTTGGACATACCTCACATGACATTGAACCCGACATTTTTTAACACATTCCCCATTACTTGTTGGACATGTAAATGTACCTCACTTATCAATGAACATTAACCCCGCAGTTTTGAACACATTAGGGGCCATTCAGAATGTTCAATGTTTAAAATTTCGACTTTTTTTCCAAACCATTTTGACCCACCCACCCACCCCTAATTCCGATTAATAAAAAACTGATTTGTTACGCATAAAAAACAAAACATGTACGTATACATGCACTTGCATGTACATAATTACATCCCACTGGCGAACCTGTGCGGGTTGCATGTCCTTTCGGAATTTTTTTTTTTTTTTTACAGAATATACAGGGGACGAAGTTGAAAAAGAAACACGCATCGCAATATCGGAACGCTTGCGCGTAGTTCAGGTAAGTCAAAATCATTTTTTTTTTTTTTTTTTTTTTCCATGAAAAGTGAATTTCGATTTTCAATTATTTAGCTTGACCCACCCACCCACAATTTGGAAAAATAATCGAAATTTTAAAACATTGAAAATTCTGAATGGCCCCTAGGGGCCATTCAGAATGTTCAATGTTTAAACATTTCGACTTTTTTTCCAAATCATTTTGACCCACCCATCCACCCCTTATTTCGATTAATAAAAAACTGATTTGCTACGCATAAAAAACAAAACATGTATGTGTTACATGCATTTGCATGTACATCATTACATCCCACTGGCGAGCCTGTGCGGGTCGCATGTCCTTTCGGAAAAAAAATTTACAGAACATACAGGGGACGAAGTTGGAAAAGAAACACGCATCGCAATATCGGAACGCTTGCGCGTAGTTCAGGCAAGTCAAAATCATTTTTTTTTTATTTGGTTCTTTTTTTTCCATGAAAAGTGAATTTCGATTTTCAAGTATTTAGCTTGACCCACCTACCCACAATTTGGAGAATACTCGGAATTGTAAAACATTGAAAATTCTGAATGGCCCCTTAGTACCCCATTAGTGATTACTTGTTGGATATGTACCTCACTTGTCAATATACATTATACCCCACAGTTTTGACCACATACTTCTTTACTTGTTGGACATGTATCTCACTTGTCAATTAAAATCATCCCCACAGTTTTGAACACATTTATGCTCATTTATTTGTTGGACATGTACCTCACATGACAGTGAACAATGTAACCCCACAGTTTTGAACACATACCCCATAACTTGTTGGACCTGTATCTCACTTGTCAATGAACATTAACCACACAGTTTTGAACACATTAATACCCCATTATTTGTTGGACATGTACCTCACTTCTCAACAAACATTTAACCCACTGCTGTTGGACATAATAGTTGTGTCCATGTGTTTTCTTGAAAAATGTCCAAAAAATGTGGGGTTTGTGAAGGAGTACCCCATAATGCACTTACTTACACATTGGAACCCCGCAAAAAAAAAAAAAAAACCTACAAATCCTTCCCGCTGCAGGTACGTCCGTCCAGAAAATCGGCCTTATTATTAAACAGTAGCATAATCACACTATTGTCACACGATAACTCAAAAACTATTTATTCTATTGGATTGAAACTTTTCCTAGACGTTGATCATAACTGGAAACACAAGTATGATAAATATTGAGAAAAAAAACACAGATTATCGACGTCAATATAATTTTTAGTAACACGAACAAAACCCATCAAAAGTGAAGTCACGGTCTACAGACAATCGGCCTATAACTACTAAACATAAATACAATCACATCTATGTGACACGATAACTTCAAACTATTTGTTTATATTAGATTGATTTTACCTAGAGGTTGAGCATGACTGTCAACACAAGCATGATAAATATTGAGAGAAAACAGAAAGATATTGGCCTCAACATATTTTTATTAACACGGACAAAACCCATCTAAAATGAAGTCACGGTGTACAGAAAATCGGCCTAACTACTAACAGAAAAACAATCACACCTATGTCACACGAGAACTAAACAAACATTTATTTTATTGGATTGAAATATTGGCTTGATGTTAAACATGACTAGCAATACAAGCATGTTAAATATTGAGACACATATAGAGGTTTCTTGTAACACCGACAAAACCGACAAAATCTATTCACTATGTCCAG